TATTCAGATTTGTGTGTGTGTGTGTGTGTGTGTGTGTGTGTGTGTGTGTGTGTGTGTGTGTGTGTGTGTGTGTGTGTGTGTGTGTGTGTGTGTGTGTGTGTGTGTGTGTGTGTGTGTGTGTGTGTGTGTGTGTGTGTGTGTGTGTGTGAAAAGACTTCTGTGATTTCAGGGAGGGCATCTCCTTAAAGTGTTCATTTTTCGCTTTTTATTCTATGCCGAAAGAAAATTTCTGGGGCGGGGGGGGGGGGGGGACACGAGCTTGGTGTGCCTCTCTGGCTACGCCCCTGCTTTGTATCACATACCTTGTGTTACACACCTTGTATTACCTTATATCACATAGCTACTGTGCGGTACGAGGTAACAGCATTTCTGGAGATTTGCCACCAGATATATTGTCACAGTTGTCTCCTCCGGTTGCCACAAGGTTCGTGTTTCAGCGCTGCGATATATGCTTCAGGAGTACTTGAGTTCGGATTCTCGTACTGCTGCAGATGACGATAGAGACGGCGGTACTTGTTGTCCATACCGATTTATATTGAAAACGCCTTGTTTAAAAATGCCTTAGACTACGGAGGCCTCAGGGCTGTTACATTTGGCCCGGCAATTCGTCTGGGCAGACGCCATTGTGCGTAAGCCGGTCTACTGGGGAGGCTCTCAACCCCTTCGGCACCCAGTCTGCCAGACGTTGTCGAAGATTTCGGCGATTACCCAGACCATGCGGCAAGCGAAGGCGAGTTCCTGACTTTCAACTACGGACCCTTTCGTCGTCCCTTCGAGCAGCAGCGGTGACCGATGCCCTCGGTGACTCATCTGGCGAGGGGGAAGCTGTTGTGACAGGCGCCAGAGCTGACGGGCGAGCGGCGCTCTTTTAATCCTCAATCATGTAGCCGACCGGCCGGCTGCCTATGCCCGTCAGGCATTGTCACTGCTAGCCGGAGGATGAGACGTCGTGTCGCCACGACGCCGTAACTCGTTCGAGAGAGGACAACTAAGACAGCATCTTCCTTGTAAGAAACCGTGGTGGCCGCCGCAAATCGCCCCGCTAATTGAGCGAACAGTTCGGCGGACCTTTTGATGTATGCTGTCAGGAGCTTGGGACCTCTCGACTAGCGGCACACACACGACGAGGAAGAGCCCCGCTGGCGCCACCTTGCAGTGCAGTGATCACGACTCAATATTGGACGTTCACGTGGACCGTGCATGCTCGTCCCCCTCACTTGTTGTGTGCGTGTGATTGGTGTTCCACTCAAAGAGGAGGGGCCCGACAGGGCTTAAAACGACGCCGCTGAGTGCTGGACGTCGCTCTGAACCATGTAACGGTTCAACCACCACGCTCGTGGTTTGTGAAACCACTAACCTTTCTTTGCTGTAAATAAGTGTAAATAGTGTCATAAACCTGTTTGTTTTCGTATCCTCTTCTTGTCAGCGTTCGTTTCCTCCACTAGGTTACACCACGCTACCACAAGAGACCGGGTAGACCCCCATTCGCAACAACTGGTGGCTGCGGTGGAATGCCATCATTAGCGACCTTCTTTCCGGCCCATAACAGGGCCTAGCCCTGATAGCGGGAATGAGTTTGATGTTTTGGGGAAGCTCAGCTGTCAATGAAGCTCGCACGTCATTGATTATTGTTACGCTTAGTATAGCGTTATCGTGAATTTACCTTCATTTCGATTGGGGAAGCTGGTCTAAGGCCGCGTTCACACTGAGCATTCCGGCCGCCGAAAGTGCTCCGAATCCGGTTCGGCGGCGGCGAGATCCGCCGAAAGGGCTCTCTCCGCGCCGATCGCTCTCGGACCGATTTTTGCGAAGTCTGCCGCCGAATCGGTCACCGCGGACCAATAGGAGCGCTAGTCAAGGAATTTTTAAAAATGGCGGCCAAGCCCTACTCACTTGTTATGCCGCAACACGTAACTGAATGTTGAAACCAACGGGAGTTTAACCTATTCTGTGCCTACTTCGCCTCCGTATTTCGTAAAAAAGGTGACCGAGCTTGCTGTTGGCGTGACCGAGCTTGTTGCGGTCTTGCAGAGCAAAACGAACCCACCAACGCCGCTGGCGTCGGTGGTTTTTCTGCTCTTCGTGCATTACAAGACAGCCACTTGCCAGCAAAGTAAGCAGTACTGTCTTTTCTTGCTTCTTGCGTACGAGAATCGTCGAAGTATACACCACCGGATAGCGTAGTAGCGTTTGCGAGCCGCGACAACAACCGGGTGACAGCGCATCCATCCCGCGTTAGCCCCGTAGTAGATGGCATATTCGGCGGCGCGGGGCGCGTCCAGTGCGAATGACGCTGCGTTTCGGCGGCAGGGGAATTTCGGTCGCTGTAGAAAGCGAATGTTTCAGTGTGAACTAGGCATAAGATACAGTTAACAGCGCTGCTGTCCCCATGCTTTAACGTCACCATTGAAATAGCAAACAGCGTGTTACATGCCATGCTTAAGGCTGTAACATGATAGTGCAGTTTTTGAAGTATCTCGGAACTTCCTTCGATATTCCATGCAAAGTTCGTGTGTTGGCGTCGTCTCTATATGTTTTTTTATTTAGTGAATACTCGAGTTGATTGGCGCTAACGTTTCATTTGCATACACCATAAGCTAAGAGGCTAATTTCGCGAGGACTGAACGCGTGTCATCGTTTTAGCGCCTCGTTGAGCACTCTGCCGATTTACGCGTGCATAATCAAGACGAATTCGCCGAAGCGTATTGACGTGGCCGTTTCCACCGAGCTGGTTATGGTGTCTGCTGCAGCAGCTGATTAATTAAAACATACGCGCAGAAACGACATTCGATCGGCCTTGTTCGCGCAGAAGTGTGCAGGCGGGCCTTAATCACCCCGCCATCTTGTCACTTCCGGCCGACTCCCACCGCGAACGCTTCCGCCGCACCGAATTACACGGCGCTGTGTCTTCCGATTATCGCCTCGAGCTGCTAATGACAGCGTGACTGTCGGCACACCAGGGAATTTCCTGTAGCGCTTAATTTTCGTCTGCTTTTGTTCCACCCACTGCCGTCTGCGTCGGTTTGTTTTTCGTCTGCTCCACTTCTGGTTTCCTGCGTTTTCTTCAGATACATCCCTTGCGAAATGGGGAGAGTGTCGTCTGTCTTATGTATTTAAAGTGTTTCATTTATTCCCTCGGCTGTTTTCTCCTGTTTGAGCAAACGATTTCCTCGAAACCGTTTCTCCCTCGGGAACGAGGAATGTATTTCAGGAAGTCGCCGTATCCTAAAATGTGTCCACCGTTTTACCCTTCGCATCCGAAGGCAGAGTTGTTCCGTGCCAGAAACGGCTCGACTAAATCAAATCAAAGGGCGAAGCATGGAGTTGTAAAGCCATCGTAGCACTATAGACCACCGACAAAAAGGCTATAAAGCCATCCCCGGATATCAACACGGCACGGTGAATCAGACGGGAGAACTAAGAATCCAGAGAGCGTCGTCTGTTAAAGAAAAACACGGCCCCTTACCGTGACTTGTATTCTTTGTTTAACGTGTCTGTGTCATTTTCTGTCGTTATTTTCGTTTAACTCTTGAAGGAGCTTAAATGTTTTCAAAGCGGAGAAGTGAAAGGCCATCCCCACCCCTCAACTGTTTCTCTGTGTGTTCGCATTTTCTTCTATATACGAAACAAGAAATTGTACTCGCCTTTCGAAATGGGGATTGATTCACTGTATGGGGGTGTGAGCGCTTCTTTAAACACTCCTAAGTGAGGCCGTGCGGGGAAGAATGTGTGGCCCTTAAAGAGCGGGCGGGGTCCCGATATGGCTGTTATCGGTATCTTTAGTTGCCCGATTGTCTTCCTTTCGTTTGCTTTTGCCCCAATCGTGATGCATGAGGCCAGCCTGCCGTGTCCCCCCGCGACGGGTATGAATACAAATGCCCCGTTCTGAAGTGTCACGCTGACAAATAGCTCGTGGCGGCCGCTTCGTTCTTTCTTGTTTTTATTGTTTTTTTTACTTTATTTCGCGACCGTTCCGATCTGATACACACGTATCGGTCTATGTGTTTTTCTCTTTGTAGTTTCAACTTTTTCCCGCGTTGTTATGCGGGCTCGTTGACCAGCTGAGAGCTGGCCAAGCGGGTTCTGAATACCTCGGGGAGTGGGGTTCCCACCTATAAGATATAGATGGCGCTCGGTGCCACTCTGAGTGCAGGCGATTATGATGGATCTGGTGTGTCGTCGTCTGCTTTGATGCTAGTGTCGCCTGCTGCTAAGACAGCCCTTCGCTTTATCCTTTGTTGCGTCTCGAGCGTCTTTATCGTCTGCACTCTCGGCTACTCTTTTCTGCGTTTTTTCCTTCTGCACGCTTCTCTGTGCGCGTGATTGATTCTTGCCGATGCTCGTCATATGCTATAAGGCCCCTTCACGACGGGCGTTGGCATCACGGTGGCAAATAAATCGGTGTCAGTGCTTGACTGAACCACGATTCCTCAGCGTGTACAGTCGGGAAAGTTGCAGAGCGAAAAGTGTTGAATTGTACTTGACGAATGTGAGCGTGCGCGTAGCGAAGTGATGTCAGCCAGAATTATAGCATCATTGGGCGCAGTCATTGTAGACTTTGTCAGCTCAACGTAGACGATTGTCTCTTCGCGTGATAATTTGCTTGTTCAAAGTTTACACACGAATGCATGGATTTATACGCCACACTAGATATCGAGGTATTCATAGTAAGAGACTTAATTTGCTGGGGTGACATCGCCAGCGGGATCGTGCATAGTCATCTAAAGATTTGGCTAATTTAGCAGAGTGAATACGCGGCGCGGTTTCTAAACTACATCTTCTGCAACAGGGCAAATGAGCGAAGCTGTAACAGTAATGGTAGAGCGCTGCTGGTATATCTGGTTAGGCTATAGTTACTCGAAGTATCCGAAATAGTATCCTAAACAGCTGTATTCTGTGGTCATAGGAGGGTAGCTTCTGTGTTCCATTTCATATTGCTCCCGACTGTAAATTGCACGTTTCCTGCCGCTTACTCACATATTTCCTTTTCTCCTTTGCAGAGATTCTGACCGGCGAGCGGCGGACGCACGTAGACACACGAGACAGCGATGGGTGAGTGAGTGGAGGTGACATCGACATCTGTATGAGGCTGCTGTGTAGGTTAACACAGCTAGTTGATAGAGCATCAATCAATCAATCAATCAAACCACTTTCAAATCCTGGAATGAGGTGACTCGCATTTGGGGCAGCCTTGCCGAGCCTCTCTGCCTTTGCTGTGCCATTTCTCTGTAGTTGCTTAGCGTGATACCTGAAGCGGATCTCGGTCGTCTCAGGGCGCTATCTCACCACCTTAGAAGTGCGATATGCGGTATACATATGCCCCTACACACGCATATAGCGTACAAAACGTCTTTTTCCCTCTGGTGCTTAGGGATGCTCAGGTACCTGTTATCGTGAAGAGCCAGCCCTTAAACAGACGCGTCGGTAACCCTTGTCCACACCCGAAAACGTATTTCCGTGGGATGCGGGAACATAGCCAGCATGGTACCTCGTAACCGTAGTAAGAGAGATTGTAATGGCCACTCGTTTATGGACTCGGTTTATGTCGCCGCACATGGTGGAAGAATGTTGGAGGGGGGTGACGTACGTCAGCCACAACCTCGGCAAGGCAACCTTTTCTGACTCGACCTCTTAGACGGACACAGAAGGAAAACATTGACTCGGTCTTGTAAGGACCTCGGTTAAACTTGGTTTAGTAATGACTTGGTATCTATCTGGACGAGTGAGTTTATATAGCAACAAAAAGGCACAGCGCGACTGAGACAATTCTTTTCGGCCTCTTCTACGTCACGCCGTGATTGTGCTCGCGGCTATAAATTACCGCTTGCCTATCATGCGGTAAAGGACTAATATTCTTTGAACCTTCGCTCGTTATATCTTGCTTCAGAATCACGTGATGCTACACCCTGTTGTTTCCTTTCTTCCGGAGGATCCCTTTAGTTACCCTGGAAGATGATAAATTAGAGATTACGGCCAATACACTGCGAATGTCCACAAGAACGGCCGCGTTGACACTGCACTGGATGAAACATCTATCTCGAGGGGGAAAGATGTTTTAGGGGCCCAGGACGAGTAAGGTCGTGATGTATCCTGAGCCGACATATATGGTAGGGTATCGCTATAGGCAACGAATGCCCGAGCATAAGAAACGAGAAGACAAGGAATGCTCTGTTTCCTGCTGAAGCAACTTTTATGCCATCTTCGACTGGTCGTTGCGAGTGTCATCGTGTTCGGCTGGTTCTTTTCGACCGGTCTCCTCTCTCGTCGAGCGCTGTTCCGAACCCTTCCGATGGAGCAGTGCGGGCGCTTCCGGTCAAGTGATCACAAGTAGCGTGGTCATAGTGGCGGCGTCATATCAAGCCGTGGAGGAAGGAAAGCAGTTTATTCCTTCCTCCGCGTATCAAGTGATCGCGTCGTCCGGTGTGTGCCTAGTTTTATCGTCACATAGAGCCTGTTTAAGCGCTCAGCTTATGTGATCTCTTTTGTCAACCTACCTGGAAACTAGCGGCAAAAGCTACGACGGTGACGTGGGCCGTGCTTGTGACCAGTAGTTCGCCCAGCTGAGTGTTTTCTTCTTGACGGCTCGTTTCATTAGAGTGACCTAGAATTCCAGGTCACTCTAGTTTTATCCGCGCCAAGAAGGTCATAACCTTCTTGATCCGCGTGTCGGCCATTTTGTGTGAAAGCCATAACGGGCTTTCGCGGAACGCACGCGGTTGCTCCTGTTTTAGTTTAACCCCTGCAACGAGTTTGACGATCGGCTCGGGCGTTTGTACTCCGCTGCGAGTAATGCCCGATCATATTCGCTAGCTTGCACTCCCTACCATTAACTACGCAATATTAGTTATGCTACCTTGCCCAGATATTGCAGTTATACTAAGTCACGAGCCCGGAGCAATGACGCAAGAACTCTGGCTTCGCGTATTTTTGTTGCATTCCGTTGCAGGGGGCCTGGTACCACGGCATATCGTTTGCTGCAGCACGTGACAGATAATTAATGTTAATTAACAACAGCCCCCTCATTATCTATTAGTTTCCGTCCCAGTTTTAGAGAGCTCCAAGAACGACGAGCCGCTGGTAGAGTTACTGTATATGCTACCTTTATAGAGTAACGCTAGCCGCCGGCTGCAACTGTCGCCAGCTATAGGTGTGCAGCTCTTGACTATACGTAAGCACATATAACAGTGACGTACTCCGCACGGTCCGTAGCAAGCAGTCGATCCTATCGAATAGGAAGCGCGTCTGCAGTGTCGGCAGACGCAAAGCTTTCAACGCTTGCGCCGCCGAGAAGCACAGCCTGCTGCTACAGTACTACTGCTTCAGCCAACGCGGCAAAATGAAAATGACGGCTAAAGCGTCATCATAGCTTGCTGTATTGTGGTGACGTGAGGAAAGCAAGGGGGTCCCCAAGGGGTTCCTTTTGGTCAACACCTCCAAAATTGAAGCTTCAAAATAGCTGTAAAATACTTGAAAGTTACAGGCCGATCAGCTTACCGTCCATTTTCTGCAAACTATTTATAAACATAATAGTTTATAGAATGAAGGCGACATTAGAGTTCAATCAACAAAAGAACCAAGCAGGATTTTGTACAGGCTACTCCACAACATACCATATTCATACTATCAATCGGTTAATAGAGAAATGCGTGGAATACAACCAACCCCTCTGCGTAGCCTTCATAAATTACGAGAAACGTTTGACTGAGTTGAGACGTTAGCAGTAATGCAGGCACTACGGAATCAGGAGGTCGACGAACCCTACACAAATATACGGGAAGAAATCTACTCTGCATCCACAGCCACCATAGCTCTCCGCAAAGATAGTGACAGAATCTCAATAAAGAAGGGTGTAAGGAAGGGAGACGTGATCTCTCCATTGCTATTCGCCGTGTGCTTACAGGAGGTTCTCAGGACCTTATATTGGGAAGAGTTCGGGATATGAGTTCATGGAGTGTGTCTTAGTAACCTGCTATTCGATGATGACAATGCCTGGATGGGTAACTCGAAGGCCGAATTACAGCTTATGATTACATAACTGCACACGAAAACAGAACAGTTAGTCTGAAAATTAATATGCACAAAACTAAAGTATGCTACAATCTCGGTAGGAAACAGCACTTTGCGACAGGTGGAGAGACGCTGGAAGTTTTAAAAGAATATGTCTACTAGGAACAGGTAGTAACCGCGAAGCCAACCAATGAGAGTGAAATAACTATAGAAAAATAAAGACGGCGAGGATCACATTCGGCAAGCATTCTGACGTTATGAATGGTAATCTGCCACTAACCCTCAAGAGCAAGGTATATAACAGCTGCATCTTACCAGTACTTACCTACAGAGCAGAAACTTGGAGGCTCACAAAGAGAGTTCAACTTAAACTGAAGTGAATGCAGCGAGCGATGGAAAAAAAAAATGATAGGCTTAACCTTGAGAGACAAGAAGAGGAAATGATGGGTCAGAGAACAAACCGGCGTTAAGGCTATCACAGTTGAAATCAAGCAAAAGAAATGAACATGGGCAAGGCACGTAGGCAGGATAAGCGCCGGCCATTAAGGGTAACGGATTGGATTCTCTGAAGAGGCGAACGCATGAAGGGGATACAGGAAGTTAGGTGAGCAAATGAGATTAAAAAGTTCGCAGGCATAACATGGTAGCACAAAACGGGGTTGATTGGTGAATCGGGGAAGAGGCCTTTGCCCTGCAGTGGACTTAGTCAGGCTCATGATGATGGCCTTCCAAGCTATATTAGCTGTTGATATTTTGCAGATGATATACACACGTTCACGGGAATAGATCCCGCAGTCTATCTCGGCCACAAAATTTTGTGTAAATAATCCATTAATAACGTTCTTCTGAAAACGCCTCAGTGTGTCGCGCAGTGAGCGCAACCTGTGCTGCCAATCGTGATATTGCATCGTATCCCTCCTGTGTTGTTCCCCAGCATGTCGAGCCTGCACCAGGCGGCGCTGCAGTGCTCGGTGCCCGTGATGCGACTCCTGCTCGACCTGGGAGCCACCGCGGACCTTAAGGATTCCAGGGGTGAGTCTATTTCGCGCACTTTATTTCAAAGAGAAGGTTTTTTCGTGAACATCTCAGAGTTGACCTAGTTCAGAAGTTGAAGGAATTGAACTTGCCGGGATGGTCTATAGTGGCTAAGGTACTCGGCTGCTGACCCGCTGGTCGCGGGATCGTATGCCGGCTGCATTCTTCATGGAGGCCAAAATGCCGTAGGCCCGTATGCTCAGATTTCGGTGCTTGTTAAAGAACCCCAGGTGTTCGAAATTTCCGGAGCCCTCCACTACGGCGTCTCTTATAATCAGATGGTGGTTTTGGGACGTTAAGCCCCACATATTATTATTATTATTATTAAGTTTAAGGAACTGACTTCGAATGAGCATTTACGTGAGCCACGTGCGACTGACGGAAAATGGCAGAGCTGCTGCTGTGTCGAGTTGCAGTCTTCCCATGGCGTCAGACTTTTACCGAGACTGAAATGGCTGTTTTACGCCGAGTTTGCTTGCCGTGGCTGGTTCTGGGAAGACAGTGAGGAAACTTTTATTTGGCCCAAGAACTAGAACCAGGTTGCAGAAATCTGCTAGATGACCAGCAGTCCGAGGCCACTGGGGACTTAAGTTTGTGGTGATAAAAATATATTCAATGTATTCACTAGTACTATGACACTGATTTTAGGGTGTGCCACATCGGTGTTTTTACTTAGAGCTACAAATTGAAAATGCTGAAATTTCGCATCAGTACTCGTTTAAGTTTCATCCGGCAGTTTTTTGTCCTCGTTCTTTATGCGCTACTCGTCTTTATGTACGACTCATTCGAATTCGTGCGTCTGAATAAACGTGCTCAAGTTTCCGTGCTTATCAATGAAGTACTGTACTGTCATTATACGGCACTTTCATACTTTACCCTGTAATGCCCAAAGTTAACTATGCCTTACCGAAATTGGGAAACTCGACATCTTTATTTGTCTTGTGCGGTTCATCTCAAGAAAAAAGTGAGTAAAATTTTATTTGATGCATAACTTAATTATATTCAATTACATTTAAATAATTACTTTAAATAAATGTGTAACTTGGTGCAAATTGATTATAACGTGACAAATATGACACAACTGCTTTTCCACGAACTTGTGAGAGCTTTATTACCTTTCTTTTTGTGGGTATTGTATCAAATATCATGCGGAGTAGGCATCGCATGTGGCACATTTAGTGCATCGGCGTTCACAACGCTGTCGTTACTGTTTGCTTCGCCTGTTCATCGACCTCGTCGCAAGACTCTGGCCTCCGAGATTCGGCGTCGGCGATGCGATCTTGCAGCAGCTTGAGAATGTCGATCTGCGCTTGCGACTTGCTCTGGGCGTCCAAATTGCACATGAGGCCCCTCAGTCCGAGCAGGAACAGCGTGTCGCCGTCTCCGGCATCCACTCTCAATTCCCTTTTCACGGACAGTGGCTCGCCGACGGCAGTTGACGAGGATGCCACCTTGCTGACGACGGTCGTGACGAACCTGCGTCGTCCGATATGAGAGCGGTTAAGCTCTGGCCACACGCACTCGTTAAAGCGCGTCAGCTTGTGGAACTTTGACGCGGCACTGTGTCTTCTCTTTATGGAGAAAGTAAGCACGCAGCTTCACGAAGCCTAGCGCTCTCTCTTTCTTTCTCTCTCTATAGGGAGAGAGCGCAGCACCACGTCAGAAAGCCAGGCGCTGCGACAGATGCATGTGGTCGGGCATTTAACATTCCGTAAGATTGATATTTCTTAAGCTGGGAGTGAACTGGGATATATTTGGGTCACAGTTTTTTTTGTTCAATGTTGAAAACACAGCCTTGCAAGTTCCAATTAACCTGGGAGAAGAAGTTGGCCGTGTATACGCGTACTTCGCTGGACGAAGGACGATAGTTTTCTGCCGGCCTTGTCTAAGGTCTTTGGAATCACGTATCTGTGTATTTTCTAGTACAGGAGCTCGCCACCTATATAGTACTTACGTATTGATGTTGCGCCTCAGACATGTATAATATTTGTTTTTTGATTGAGAACGTCCCCAAGTATGAATGCAGCACCAGTTAGAAATGACTTAGAAATGGCTGGACGTTCAGCACGTGCTTATACTTTGGCCGGCAGACTGAATCGGCCGACAAACAGAGAGACAGACAGGACGAAATTCTTGCGTTCACGTATCCCAAGAATGACTATCGTTTAAAGGCTTCGCGCGACCCTTTACGTTATGGCCTTATAGACGACTCGAAGGCGAGAGCCACCCAATGCAGATATTTACCCATGCATGTGAAAACATCACGTGAAAGCATTTTTGTCTCTTTTATTGATGCATACGTCGCAAAGAGAATGTGAATGCGCATATCCAGCCTCGCTTGAGAGGAACGTCACGACAAATTATGGCATAGTAGAGAATCAGAAAGTGGATGAAAGTGCCACTTGGCGCATGTAAGCGATGAGCTTCGAATATGTTCCGTGCGTACCAGCGGGGAGTTGACTTTTCATTGATTTTGACTGCATTCCATTGATGTCACAATTAGTGTACTATGTGAATGTAATGCCCTCCATTGGCCGCGAGATCGAACAGACTCGGCAACAAGTGGCGGAAACTTTGCTTCTTGCGTCGTCTGCTAATTCGCATCTTTGTATACGTCGTGCACGACCCCAGAAGTAGACTTGTGTTAGCACGGTGTCGAATGCCTACACCTCATACACGGGCCTCCCGCTTTCAGACACTTGTGCACATTCTAATAGGCGAGTGCGTGCCAATATGGCCCTAGGTGTAATCGTTGTACCGTTCGTCCGCCAAGATCATTTTAATGCGGGTGCCGTTTTGTCGCTCAAGCTCATCACATAGTTCGATTGCAGTAGCCCTAAATGAAAAAGAAAAAATACTGAAGTACGAGGTGTAAGTGCATTTTTCAGCTACACCGTATCGTAAAGATTTTGACGATTTTCCTTGTGATATACTGCAAAGCACAAAGGATAATCTGCAAAAGCCATTTAGCGATAAGAAAGACCTCAAGCTTGGTATTTCTAAAGGGGCACACTTATTCATGGAAACACAGCAGCACAAAGTTTGTTTAATTATGCAGAAATGCAGACTTTCTTTCTTTATTATTATTCTTATTATTGTAGCCGTGAGGTGAATAAGTAAATGCATAGTTGTCTCAGTAGCGCAACACTGTCTTTACTGTTGCGTATGCGAAACACAAGTTGAACACTGAAGCAAGAAAAAGCATCGAGCACTGTGCAATACACGACTGTGAGCAAATTTGGACAGCGGCCCATTGATTTGCCGATTGCACTTCTCACGCACGTGATAGAATAGCTAGCCTGGTTTTGTGCATCAATAAGGGAGTTGAGACTTTATATATCAGCACCAGATAGCAATCGCTGCCTTTTAGTATTTATTCGCCGACAGTCGACTCAAACGGTGTACAGCAAAGCACCGCTGCGTATACTTTTGCATACGCGCCGCTGACCGCTTATCAGTAGTCTTAACCTTCGTTTTTTTGCCGAATGCGAGAGGGCGGTTTCGAAAAGTTGCCAATGGTAGCCAAAAGTCGCTAAATGGTGATGATTATCATGACATTTCTTGAATCGTTTTTTTACCTGATTAAGCACGTGAAGAGAACCTGGCTACAGCACTGTGAACCGATGAGCAGTCCATGTGTTTGCGGTACACCGTGAGCCGTTCACCGCTTTGCCCAACTCTTGCTGTAAGACGGTAAAGTTGGGCCAGTAGGTTAGGATCCATCATGAACTTATTTACAGCGCAACATCAGAAAAACACAGACGGGGAAGGGGCAAAAGAGAAAGACGACGCTGTCTTTTCTTTCTCTTTTGCTCCTTCCCTGTCTGCGTTTTTCTGGTGTTGCACTGTAAATAAGTTCACGATTGCCCATCTCTAACTGGATAAACAAAAGGAGCACTGGAAACGGCCGCACTTCACGCTCTAAAGACCGCAGTTCACAATGAGCTTGATCCCACATACTTTGTCCGAATTTAATTGAAGCTCATTTTGAGCAATGCACTGTTCTCACAGTTTCCCAATTTTCTTTGACTGTTTTCGGAACACTCCATCTCAGATTATAAAATCTCTCTCAGAGTCGCTAAGACTTGAAAGAGATAGACTTTTCACTATAGAACGACTGAAAAACCTCCAAGTTCAACGACTTTCTCGCTAAATTAACACCACTACAAACACGAAGACGGTGCTGCTATTCCCATAGCCCGATCACGGCGCAAATACCTTCTCTATCTTCATTATATGCTGGCCTTATTAGGATACTTGCGCAAAGCTTTGCAGTAAAATCTTTCTAGTATTAGCAGCGTTCTTGTGCTGTGGTTCTATGTATGTATTGTAACAATATCTTGTAATCGGCAAACAGTTGTCAATGAAGCACCAATTGATCTACCTACCTGTACAGCGCCACCTCGATAGCCGCTTCTCGGCGTTCTCGCTTGGCGTCCTCGCTGTCGCGTTGTTCGTCGTCGACTTCATACTTGCCAACACCCTCTTCCCCGTCGTTTTCTTCGTCCGAGGAGGATGACCCCTCAGCGGGTGACTTCCAGCGTCGCAGCAGCCTCAGCCCTTTCGGAGGTCGTCCACGCCGGCATTGCTGGACCCAGTCGGTTAGCGACGCCGGCAGCGGTGCCTTTCCGCGCTCGCTTCTCGAAGCGATTCCGGATGTCGATCTGCCCCTCTTCCTCCTTCCCCTAGTGCTACTCCCGTCAGTGCCGCGTCGCTGTAGACCGCTCTTTCGGCGTCCAGACTTGGGCGGCTTCGAGATTGGGGCCGGAGATGGTGGAGCACCTGCTTCGCCTTCGTCCATGGAATCATTCTTTTTGTTTTTGTGTAAGCGGGGTAGGGGGCAGAGGGCAGAGGCAAAGATAAAAAAAGAGTGAGAATGGGAAACTGCAATAGGAAAATTCAGCCAGTTACATGCCATGAAAACTGTCCAGCAGCGAAGCTCTCAGGATGATGAAGAATTTCGGTACAAAAATGTCGGCGTCATCACTTCGTTTTAATTATGTGAAGAAAAGCTCTATTATGCTGTAGTCGCCATTTTTCGAACGTCGTGATAATCATCATTTTCTTTTATTTATTTCTTCACTCACCCTTCTGGTCACGTAAAATATGTTGCTGCTGCTACTACTGCTACTACTACTACTACTACTACTACTACTACTGCTGCTGCTGCTGCTTCGACGACGACAGCACATGGTAAGACAGTTAGGACACCTTCACTGCAAAACACGTTTTAGTCTTCATGGTTCAATTAATGGTTGCAACAACGCGAGCTAGTCAAGCACAACATTGAAGACAATAGTTGAATCGGGGAGTTGCGAGATTACCCAAAAATTTCAAACATCCAAATCAAGTTGTGTCCCATTCGATTTCCGTCTCATTTCAGGGACAAAAACTAGTTGTACAGAAATTCTCGCTGGAGTCAACTTTTCGAGAAAAAAGTGAAAAACGAAACAATGAAAAACCTTGCTCGAACTTGGGCTCCAGCGACGTTACCTGTGACCCGAAGGCCAGAGGTTCGATCCCGGCCGCGGCATTCGCATTTCGATTGAGGAGAAACAATGGAGGCTCGTGCACATTGCGATGCCAGTGCACGTTAAAGAACACCGGATGTCATATCGTGGTTGTAGGATGTAAAACCCGACATATTGTTAATATTATAGGCGACGTTACCTGTCGAACGATTTCTCGCGACTTTGAACGTCCTGAACTTCTGTCTCACGCACATTTATTGCACGCTTTTATATGCGAGCTATTCTTATAATAAATATTTCACTCTGTTTGTCAATTACGTATCTGCTGAGCCTGAGCGCAGTAATCAGCGGCAAAATACTACATAAATTCCTGTTGGTTGTCTTAACCTGTGTACTCTACCACCTGAAATGCAGTCACGTTGAAGGCGGCTTTTCCTTCATACTTCATTCAATAAATAAGAATAATGAAGAAGAAATAACAATTAGGCATTCCCAATTGATTGATTTGTGGGGTTTAACTTCCCAAAACCACCATATGATTATGAGAGACGCCGTACTGGAGGGCTCCGGAAATTTCGACCACCTGGGGTTCTTTAATGTGCACCCAAATCTGAGTACACGGGCCTACATCATTTCCGCCTCCATCGGAAATGCAGCCGCCACAGCCGGGATTTGATCCCGCGACCTGCGGCGGGTCAGCAGCCTAGTACCTTAGCCACTGGACTACCGTGGCAGGGCTAGGCATTCCCAAACCATACCCAATTACACAACATTCACACCATACCCCCACCACTCTGCAACGCATTTACTCAGGTTACCTCCGTGGGAAGGAGCGGGTACCAGTTCTTTTTATTTATATATATATATATATATATATATATATATATATATATATATATATATATATATATATATATATATATATATATATATATATATATATATATATATATATATATATTAGACATGACATGACGGCAATGGCAAAAATCACCCGAGAGTGGCCATATAATTTCTATCGCAATTGAAGAACGCAGGGTCCTTTACACAACCGTCTAATACCCCTGTCACACGGGCACCCGTGAAGACCGTTTAACTCCCTCGTCTTTACGACAACGAAGATGGGGTCGGTGTCACACGGCCACCCTTACGCAAACGAAGGTGAACGGAGCATTTCGCAAAGGACGTTCAACGATCTCCCTTCGCAGGGAAACGAGGTACTCTCGTCCTCAGCAGTCTAGAGGTCAGAGAAAAATTTCGAGCACTAAGTGGCTGCAGTGAAAGAATAATACATTTTAGCAATTTTAAACGTTCTTTCGTTGTAGTACTCATTCACAACGCGTGTTTGTTTACAATATTTACGCCCGCCAGAGTTCACTTACTGTCAACACCGATGCCCTACACACCGTGCCTCGCGAGTCGGGCTGGCCGGCGCCAGCCGATCAACGTCATTACCAGTGCAATATCGCACCACTTCCTCACGTCGTCCGCTGTGTCACTCATGACTGAAGAACACAAAATGTGCGCTCACGAGGCAAGGAAGCATAAAAACTTTCGTACCGGGCATGTACACAGGCAACAAAACAACTAAAAGCGCAATGTGGCCAGCGTCACTAGCAGCATTGCTACATTTAGCAAATGCATTTTTATTTAAAAATATTTTTAATGGTTTGTTAGTCGTATACCTACTTAATAGTGCTTTTTTGTAAAAACCGCATAACAAGGATTCACAAAAAAATCAATAGGGATCAAATTAGAATACTTTTCCGAAAATCAAACAGCGCCAGCTGAGCCCCCTCGCGGCAACTGTTACAAACTTGTCATTGCCGTGTGACACTGCCACAACTCCTTCTCTGTCGAATCCCCTAGGGGAGATTTACGTTGACGGTGTTCAATGGAGTTTGGTGGTGGCCGTGTGACAGGGTCTAGACGACTAAAAAATCAAAGCCATGTTCATCTTCCCGGTCGATGTATCGATTTCCGAAGCTTTTGGCACGCAACGTGGCCGTGCACTGCCTCCGTGATCGACACCCATTGAACCTATAGTGACGATGTTACCTGACGACGCAATCTCAATCACGTGATGGCGCATAATGTGAAGTCATGTGGTCACAAATGTTTTGTGACGTCGTTACGACATCATGCGGTGCCTGATGACGATATTTTGCACGAACTTGCTGACGTCGATGCCGCCGACGGTCAATCATCGTGTTTGATGAGTCATAAAGACCTTTCGTGATTAAAAGAAAACACCGTACATTGAAGCTAATTACCGCAGCGTCGCTGAGTACCGGGGAGACGTCGATCTCAAAGTCTACTGGTGACTCCCAGCGCCCTTCCGCGCTGACGTCCTCCACGGCTGCGTCCTGGCACGCTGCACGACACATGCACAGAGCCGAAAATACAGACGTTGACTGGTTGTGATTGCTCAGCGTGTTAATGACACATGTTTATGATACGGCCAGCTGAATAATTCAAGCTACTAGCTAAAGGAACACTGAAGTGAATCTACCAGTCGGTTTAGATGGATAAGTTGCACTCTGAGAATTGTTCATTTCATCAGCATAGATGAGGAGAAAGTCAAAGCTGAAGATTTGTGTTTTTTTTTCACGCCGAAAGCTCCACGCGTAACATCACGGAATTCAAGGTCAATTTCAGCTCTAGCGTCCTTGATTTTACCACCATTATTTATCACTAAATGAGGAAATCAAACTAAAAAAATGTTATTCTTCCCACCGAAATCTCATTGTGACGTCAGAGAGTTTAAGGTGATTTTTATTTTTGTATTGTGGAGACACTGGCTCAACAAAATTAACTGAAACTCGGTATGTTAAATATGCAGGGCCTTCAGAGGGCATTATACTTTATTATTGTCGATTGGGACCGACAAATGTTCCAGTAGACGCCGTGAAAACCTACGACGTCACGAGGTTAGGTGCGGGAATGTCAAGATGGTGTCAAGAACCCGAATTCTCTTTTTGCGCGTTTTCTAGTGTCTTCTCGTGGCAAGCATGGTGATTTCGGTATACTGTGACAAAGTAATTTTTTTAATGCGAGAAAAATAGTTTTTCTCTTTGGTGCCCTTTAATATGCTGACGATCGGTAGAATGGTTGGTGTTATGCAGTTGTTTATCTCTTATTGATATTAAAAAAAAAATGCGATAATCGAACTAAGGCTAGTATATTTTGTTCGAAACTTTAATTTCGTCAGTTTTACGATAGTAGGGGGATTAATCAGTTGAGAATGAATGCGAAACGCTTTAGTGGTTTAAATTTCGTGCTTAAGCCTGATCGCTCTTATCTGTCTCAAAAGTTCCCTTCAGGAGTGGGAAGGCTACGGGGCCCCTTAGCATAGTGGGAAGGGTAATTAGACCCTGGTCCACATCTATTCGTCCGCATCGCGTCATCTGCTAAGCGTTCTCCTGACATCTGCAAGCACTTTTTCTGGGAGCAGACAGCAACGCAAAAAAAAAAAAGAACAATATGACCTATTGTACTATTCACTTCCAGTTTACGAGGTAGTCGCCGTATCAGTCCGGGCGCTGAAAGTTCCAGACTGAAGCTTGCTTTAGATTTATGTCTTGAAGCTTTGGTAGCACTGTATCGTGACAATTTATTCTGTTAATTTATTTTCTCTCTGTCGACGTGTTAGGCTTAGCAGGCGTGGTTAGACACATCTTATCTCGCCTATAACGAAAGGGTCTACCTGATACTTTGTCCTGATTGTGAGATGGCACAAAGCGATAGCTAATCGTGTCATTTATTTGTTGCTGTGAACACTTTAGACGAGCGTCAAGGGCGAGTTCGGATCGAAGCGGGCGGTCGAGTCTGCATGGGCGCCGCCATGTTGATTTTTTTAACCACATGCAGTTACTGACGGTTCCTGATGAAACAATTAAAGAAATACGACGTAAATTCGATGAAGAATACACATATTAGTTATTGATTGGCAGCAACAGATGCTATTAACAAGGACAAATGTCTCGAGCTTGCCAACTGCCTGGCAATTCCATCCATCCTTCCATCCATCCATCTATCAATCCATTTATCTATCTTTTTATCTATCTATCTATCCATCCATCTATACTACTATCTATCTATCTATTTGGAATTATGTTTTCCTGCAGCGAGAATGTGGCATGCTTACACCCCACAGCTTTGACAATACTGAATCGTTTTAAGTGGCCGTCCCGGCAGACACGGTTTCGAGCAGAGTGGTGAGACAGAGCATATTTATAGTACATTTCCTTACCGAAACCGCGCGCCAGGACGTCATTCGATGTTGATTCATTGTTGTCTATGCTGTCGGCCTCCTCCCCTTGCAAAGCTGTCCCGGTTAACCTGGTAAATTTGGTATACTTGGAAAACCTGGAAAATAAAAATCCTGATCTAGCAAAAATTTATAATAACAGACAGTGGGTTGGTATATGGTATTAAACGACGGCATTTACTAGTTCCACTTATAATAAGCAGATTCGCTTTTCTTTATTCGCCCAATGGCTTACACACTTTCCAAGTATCTTGTCGCATTTTGGCATTTTATTTGCGTTAATTGAGCAAATATAGCTATTCTTTAGTAATGATGACCTTTGGAACTAGCACGTTCTGCATTCCATGACAGCACGTTTGTCGAAAAACTTTGGTAGTTTAATATTGATCATGCACTGGCAAACGTACATTCAAGTGTGTACACAAAAAGGTCCCTTAGTGCAAACACTGCAATGAGACCTCTTGTTATGGAATATATAAAGAAAATAAAAGCAGGAGCAGAATAGCGAAAAACAAGCGTGGTGTGCATGCATAATAATAGGAGTGGCATTATGGTATGCAATGACATTTCGAATATCTGACACTGGTATACACATAAAAATGAAATTGGCGAAATAAAACCCAACAAAAAACAACGATGCGATCGTCAATAGTGTACACTAATAAATGTTTCACAAGAAAAAGATAGTAATGAACGTGCATAAAAAAAACATGAGATGCACTCTAAAAGGGACAAAAAGCAATGACAGCAACTACACGATTCAGAAATTCATAGAATGATTCAGGTAAAAGCGAAATGAATGTTTGAAGGCATTTTATGATGGTCAAGTTTTAACCTCCAGAGGTAGAGTGTTCCATATTTTGATTGCGGAGAAGCTTACTGTTTTCACCTGTTGCGAATCGGTTCGAAATTCCGCCACTATCAAATTTGACCATATGGCAGAATTGGACAGAGTAGGCGCGAATCAGTTGCACAGCATTACTTTGCGCACATACAAAGCTTACCTCCTGAGTCTCTTGGGTCGTATGTGCTCCCTGAGGAAGTCCAGGCGTCGTAGGAAGGGCCACTGTGATCGCGCCGAGAGAAGTGTGCCGTCCACATTTCGCGTGCTTCCGAGCCGGATCTCGCGTACGTACTTGTCGCGCAGGCCTCTCCAGATGCGTCGGCAGTCGGCTTCCGTCACGTCTGTGGGGAAGGAGGCTGCTCGTGAGACGAGGTACGCACTAGTAGAACCCACAGGGCAAAGATATACACAAGGCAAGTGTTGATTCATTGATTTATATGTGGGGTTTAAGGTCCCAAAACCACCATATGATTATGAGAGACACCGTAGTGGAGAGCTCCAGAAATTTCGAACACCTGGGCTTCTTTAACGTGCACCTGAATCTTAGCACACGGGCCTACAACATTTCCGCCTCCATCGGAAATGCAGCCGCCGCAGCCGGGATTTGATCCCGCTACCTGCGGGTCAGCAGCCGAGTATTTTAGCCACTAGGCCACCGCGGTGGGGCACGAGGCAAGTGTTGCCACGGTGGTCTAGTGGCTGCTGACCCGCTAGTCACAGGATCGAATTCCGGCTGCAGTTTCGATAGAGCCGAAAATGTTGTAGGCCAGTCTACTCAGATTTGGGAGGTCGAGATTTCCGGAGCCCTCCACTACGGCGTGTCTCGTAATAATGTGGTGGTTTTGGGACGTTAAACCCCACATATTATGATCATCAAGCGTGCACATGCCAAGGGACATACCCCCTCGTTCGCTTCTCATGAAAATGAACGTATGGATAGGCTGATATAAGTGCACATTGATAGAAACCTTCATGTATAGTAGAACGACGCAGGACAAAGAAACACGCACCGCTCAGCAATGGTTTCCACGTATATATACCATGCGCACGGAGCATGAAAAAGCCCCCCTCCCCCAATTACCAAACAGTGGGCGGGCGGCCAAAGTTTGCTCCATACTTTGACTAATAGAGAACGGGGCGCTGCAAAGATCCTCCCCCCCAACCCCCCACCCATTTGAAGCGGAACCCTGCGCACGCTTATTCTAGCCAACCTAACTGTCCTGTTAAAAGGTATGTAGTCGAGAGATACAATGAAAAAAAAGTTCTGTGGTAGGAACGTCACTATGGAAAAATAAAGGTGCCCAGTCGCTATATATTAGTAGCACCATAGTCGAATAGAATAAACTAATGCGATTGTTTTAGCGCCGTGATTAGCATTGTTTTCCTTCGAATCAAAAAGTGTTCTCACCAACTGGATAGTATTACATATTGTATAAATGTATTCTTTGTTTTCCTCTCCCTCTTTTTTATTGTATCTTCTTGCCCGTGGACGTTCGTATCTGCACTCTCAATACTGTATAGCCTGTGTATGTTATATACCCATGTACTTGCCATTTTCCTCATGTGCCACCCTGCTAAAATCATTTAATGATAATTGCAGTAACTCTAAATAAAAATAAATAAATAAATAGTATATCTATTGGCGTTTCAGCGACCGCGTGAGCGTGCCTCGATCACGAACGTTTCCGTAACGCGGACAGCTTATTATTATGCGCACATGTTCTGAAATTGTCGAAAGAGAGTAAAACTGAACTACAGGGTTCTACTATGCAGTGTCTAAAACGTTTTAAATTCGAAATTGTATATGCGCCTTGCTATGTATTAATATGCGCTAATGCTGGGAAGGCGAAGTCAATGTGTAGTCATCACGCAGTATAAACGTTGCACATGGGATCGCTTATCACAGAATGCCTTGCGAAGAGGGGGTCTGCGAAGCCATCTTGGGCGGTCCACGGAACCAATGCTGGAATTCATTATTTATTTATTTATTTATTGAGGCACAATATGTCCCCTCACAAAGGTCCCTTCTGATTTTTGGTATGCTTGACCGCATGACATGTGTGTATCGCGGCGGAGCCGACTTACGTTTCCCCTGCTTAATCAAAAGCGAGTTTTCTACGACACAGTACGCGCTAGCATGTTTACTCTGTGGTGGCACATTTAAATAGACTTAGTGTGGCTGCAAAATGCACAACCTCATGAGAAGCTGTTGCGATTGAATTGAAGAGGCACTTCTTTTAAACCATTCTTTGAGAGGGAGAAATAAAGACGTCTGTTTACGCTGACCAACGCCCTCCTTCATTCATCTTCGCTCAACACTTCCACCTGGGTTCTCGTAACATCCATTACTAAAAACGTATGCTCTAAATCGTAACGAAATGGTGGCCTCATTTAAATAACCAGTTAAATGCAATATGAAAAATACCTAACGAACGCCAGATGCCAGCAGTCCATGTGCCGTGGTTTCGTTAAGCTGCGGTCACTCATTTTAAAATATTTAGTTTGGGTACGTGAAACACCCTCCTAGTGGTGAGGTGATCGATTTTTGATATACGCAGTATTGTTGTCCACTGCGGCAAGCAACATCGTATTCCTTCTACAGCTCAACTGAAGTGTTATTTTCCAACTCTTCGATCGAGGCTTTACACCTTCCCCATGGGGCTGTTAAGGGCTCTATTTCTGACTTGCCCTGGATGATGCACTTCTCGCAGACTCTCTCTTAACGATTTGAAATCTCTGCCAGCCTGAAAGAATCAGCTCCGCCGCGCGCCCTAGCACGCATCCGAGATGGTTAGTTACTCAACGCCTAACTAGCAGGTCATCCTTTCTCTACCTTAATTGACGGCGCTTGCCGCACGCTGGTGTGCACTTGCTGCGTGCGGCACTCACTGTGTACGTTGATGGCTGCAGCCACGGCCTCCCAGTAGGGTGCCCGCCTACGCGCATTCCATCGGCTGATGCGGTTGGAGTTGTAGAGGCACGGATACTTCTTCACCTCGGCGATGACGCTGGCCTGCAGCTGCCACCAGTCGACCTCCATTGTCGCTGCGATTGGCGTCGTTTCCTAGGCAACCGAGTGGGATCGACAAAGACGGGACCAAGTTAGGGGCGCGTGGTTAAGCCAATGATCGCAATTTAGTTGAGTTTGTTACGAGCAAAGTGTTTTAACGGCGAGACAAATACACGCAAGCTTTGCGAGCGATTGCTTTGGAGGCATCGAGCCTGGGAGCGAGCGAGCGAACAAACGCGCGTGTTTTGGTTGCGGACCTTCTCTGCTGTGACGCGAGAAGGCGCAGCGACATCGGACATGCCTCGCCATCTGGCGCCGGTTGCAAGAACGAGCATGTGTGAACAACGCGCGCCAATCTTAAATAGCAAATTTGTTTGTGTGCAGCCTACGTTCGGCGTAGTGAGCATTTGGGCCGGGGTGGGACAACTCCATGGCAAGGCAGAGGTTTCAATGCAAAGCAGTCCTCTACAATTTAATGCGGCTTTGGAAAAGCAGTTTTCGAGTTCACTTAGAAGCACTGATTTCAGGGCTGGAGTAGGAAGATAAAAAGTATGCCATAAAAAATGGCGCAGTGTTTAGTACGGTTGCCAAACCAAATAAGTTATTAAAGCTAACACACACACACACACACACACACACACACACACACACACACACACACACACACACACACACACACACACACACACACACACACACACACACACACACCACTTTTCCTGAGTGATTGTTTGATATCTGGAGTTTAACGTCCCGAAACCGTCATATGATGATGAGAGTGGAGGACTCAGGAAATTCATACCATCTGGGGTTCTTTAACGTGCACCCAAACCTGAGCGCACGTGCTTACAGCATTTTCTCCTCTGCAAATGCAGCCGCCGCCGCCGAGATCCGATCCCGCGACCTGCGGGTCAAAAGCTAGTACCTTAGCCACAAGACCACCGCGATGGGGCACATTTTTCCTGAATTATATGTGTGGCGTGCTTTTACATATCGTATTACACTGATATCATGAATAGAGCCTTAAATGGCAATGAGATGCGAAGGACTAATAACCGATAGTCAGTTATAGCGACGAAATGGATAAGCAAACACGGGAAACGTGCACCAAAGAATGGCGGAGGATTATATGACGTGACCAAATCTGGAAGTTTGTGGGCATAAAATGGTGAGTAGAGGATGGAGTATAACGGTAGATAATTGGAAGAGGCCTCTGCACTGCAGTGGACATAAACTTAGGCTGACAAACATAAATGTATTGCTGCCAGTGCGTGTGTGTGTGCGTGTGTGTGTGTGCATGTGCGTGTGTGTGTGTTTGTGTTGCCGTATGTACGCATATTGCCTTAGTAATTATTTTTGTTGCCTCAGAGAATGTCACTGCCGGACTAACCACCATGATAAAAGCTCAACGTAACTTCCTCTATATGATATGTTTATAAAGGCCTATAATGATTCGAATGTGAAAGTCATCTTTTTCTCCTCTACAGCAAGTCTTGCCTACCCTTCTACAAAAGCTTGTACCATGCACTAACATACATTTGCGCACTGCTTCCTATAGCGAAGGCGTTCTGGGCCTTCTGCATCTCACGAGGTTTTTCAGTGCCTCCCTGATGGCTGCCATTTGCGGAGTGATGATCTCATGTAATGAAGCTATCACGTCACGTTACAAATTTTATTTTGACGCAACCCTAATGAAAAGCAGCGGATGAAGGAAGAAAACCAACAGAAAAACAGACGAGGAAGCTAACCAGAAAGACTTCTGGTTGCCTACCCTACTCTTAAGGATGATATGGAAGTGTAATATAATGATCAGAAAGGGGGAGAAAGGAAGAGAAGGAGAAAAAAGAGAGAGCTAGGCAGTGAACTCGCTGTATTGTGTGGAACTGCAGAGCAAGTCAGAGGCGTTCACACAAGTCCGATGCTCTAGCAGATAAAGAAGCCAGGAAATGCATGTGGACTTTAAGACGTTAAATGGCGCAGAAGATGTCAGCCAGAAGCTATCGTCGCCATGATCAAACATCGTTTACTTCTTCTTTGCCTTACTGGCTGGCTGTGCTTATTATTCTTTAACATATCCTGCCCCGTCCCAGAAGAATCACGACTCAAGTCTAGTCCATGCAGCTTGTAGGAGCCTCTTGTAATACAGTGCATGTGGCTTGTGTTTTGGTGGAGCTAGACTACACTATAGTTGACCAGGATGTGCCTGCATTACTCAGTGGCCAAAAAGATCGATTCTTACTGTCGTGTACAACACTGTATATACCATCCTAATTTGGCTTGAACTTTGAGGGTACCCATACGAAGGTCAAGATATTTCCTTTTCCATCCCTCCCAAATCTGGGTGTCCTGACGGTAGCGTAGCTTCAAGGTATATTGAGTACTCTGTGGCCAAGTTGATGTGCCACAGGAGCTACGATAAGAATGCAGTGACCTCCCGACGAGCTAGCGTGAGAGAAATCCTGGAGGGTCTCGTCCTCAGTTCATTCCGGAGTGGCCCACATGTGTCCTTGTGTTATACGCATCTTGTCTTTCTTCAAGAGTGTCGGTTCCTCGTGGCAAGTCCTCGACATAGAAAGTCTCCTTCGATGTTCGGGCGGCTGTTTTGTTTTCACCGCGTATACGCTATTGCTATCGTGGCGTATTGTCCCTGGAAGGAAAGGCATTGCCGTTAATGATGTACCGTTTTTAAGTGTGTTGTGGTAATTGTGATACAGATGTGAAGAAAAGTGAATGGAACGAAAAGACAACTTCCCGCCGGCAGGGACCGAGCCTGCAACCTTCGGGTTCCGTTTCTTTGGTGTTACGAATTTGGATGATATGTGATGTAATGATGACGTTGTGGAGAAAAATCACCATCTCGTAATGACGCATTCGTCACGTTAGGTAATCTTGGGATGACGTCATCGTAGAAGGACAATATTTACGATGACACCGTTGTGTTGACTTTTCGAGCTCTCGGTGTGAAATGTGTGAGGCATTTCCCCTATTTGTGCTTCCGCAGGTATGCGGCCACTGCACTACGCCGCATGGCAGGGCCAGGCCGAGCCCGTGGCTCTCCTCCTGGAGTACAACTCGTCCGTCAACGACGCCTCGAGTATGGGAGACACGCCGCTACACCTGGCGGCGCAGCACGGACACGTGCTCGTGGTCAGTGCAAGCATTTTTATAGAGGGTTATATTCGCGGCAACGGTTGATTGCTGGGCACGAACTTCAAATAATTATTCACATCGGAATGCTTGGTTCTCAATCGTCCTTTGCTAGTATTGCACAAATACCATTTATAGCCATGCAACAGCGAGAGTTGATATCGTGGTCTGACTGTCGAAAATCGGCCGGGTTTTCATTGCTGCTGAATATTCGCATCTCTCTGTCCCTTTCAGATTGAGAAGCTTCTGAGTTACCATGCCAACCCGCTGATCCGAAACGGCGAGCACAAGACGCCGCTTGACCTCGCCTGCGAGTTCGGAAGGCAAAAGGTACGGGCGTTTCGATAACTGCGTGTTACATTTATGGGATGAAGCGGCCTTCATTAAGTTAAACTGGAAGATATCCGTATACGTTCCCGTCAATTTACCTGTCAATTTCGGTTGGTATTTTTCATCACATGTTCTGTGCGTGACATATTATTGATATTGTGTATGAGGGCGATCAGCGCTCTGTGAGGCAGTCTGTGCCTTGGCGCCTATCTCCTAAGCCAGAGGTTCTAAAACGTTTAGTACTTATAGGAAACCCCAATGTCTTTTCCAGAGTCTCGCGGAACCCCCAACTTTTTCTTCCGCATAAAGACGATCAAAAGTGCAAATGAGTTGGGGGGAAGTGCAATAAGGCTTCTTAGCCACGGTATTATTAACACTGCTGGCGCTGGGCTGTTCCCTCTGCTTGAATATCGAAGGCCATGACTGTTTATGTAGAATTGCCAATAACACATAGAATTGCAATCCCTCCCTCCTCCACTTCTCTCTCCCAGTTGCATCCGCTGATCATACACGGCCTGCTTCGGGCACCGCGCAACACAAGCCATGTGTGTTTCCGCCAGAAAAGCGCCGGGAGTACAGATTATTTTTTTACAAAAAAGGGGGGGGGGGGGTATGGCTGTAGCAAAGTGAAATGGGCCGTCTAGTGATACACCACCGGTCACAAAACCAACAAAACTGCCCTGTGATCGCTGACTTGCAATGAGCCCTTAGCAAAGTGTCGAAGTGGCTGTTAATGTCACTAGAACTGGTTTGAACGCTCGCGAGCATGCATTACCAGTGCTCCAATGGTCCCGTCACCACGAATCCGCAAATGGTGCTAGTTTCATGGTGCGGAAAGCGTTTATTGCTGATACCACTTTGGTGGCACACAGATACCCGAAGTGCTTATGCAGTGTGCAAAGGATTCGTCAAGTGCGAAATGCAATTCAAGTACGCTTGTGCAACTAAATGTGTGTGGGTCTGGTAGCGGCATGGTAGCGGCATGAGAGTGGGTCTGGCAGCGGCATGGCTGACGGTTCTTTCAAACACGTGTGCTTCCTGTTGCAGATTGCCGCAAGCATCGCTGGCCCGTACTTTCTGAGCTCCGTCTCACCTTCAAGTTTCCCTCTCAACCACTCTGCTTTTGATGGCCCTCCCTTCAGTAAAGCCTGCTATCCGGCAGGTGGCAATGCGACTGTTCTTCTGACTGACCTCGCTGTTGCTTCACCGGAGTGCGCATGGCACAGCACTGGAACGTCATCGACACGGACACGAAATGATATAAAGCCGACGCTACGGTCAATCCTCTTCAGTGGGTCTGGCAGCGGCATGGCTGACGGTTCTTTCAAACACGTGTGCTTCCTGTTGCAGATTGCCGCAAGCATCGCTGGCCCGTACTTTCTGAGCTCCGTCTCACCTTCAAGTTTCCCTCTCAACCACTCTGCTTTTGATGGCCCTCCCTTCAGTAAAGCCTGCTATCCGGCAGGTGGCAATGCGACTGTTCTTCTGACTGACCTCGCTGTTGCTTCACCGGAGTGCGCATGGCACAGCACTGGAACGTCATCGACACGGACACGAAATGATATAAAGCATGGCTGACGGTTCTTTCAAACACGTGTGCTTCCTGTTGCAGGTAGGTCCGATATATCCTTCTAAATGTTATCGGAGCGATGACCGTTTCTTGTTGCTGCTGCCAGACCCTCAGCACTTTGTGTGTGTATTTTCATGTCTCCTGCATTCTCTGAGAATCTTGTTGCAACTCTCTGGCGATGTTGAGTTAAATCCCGGCCCAGATAAAAAGGTAGAAAGTATGCTCACAGAACTGATAACCGGACAGAAGCGAATTAGTGATGAGCTTTCGACGCTCAGTTCAAGAATGACTTCTTTTGAACAGCGTCTAGAAAACATTGAAACATTGTCTGCAACTGCAAATGATGCCATTCAACGTGTTCACGAACTAGAAGTAGCGGTTGCAAACCTCAAAGATACAATCGACAAACTTGATCGTAGAAATGATGACCTTGAAAATCGATCCCGCAGGAATAACTTGATCATTTATGGCCTGAATGAACCAACGAATGAAACTTCCGAAACGTTGCTGGTTTCTGTGACAAATTTGCTATCCTGCAAGATTGGAGTTCAATGCGATGGCATTGAACGCTGCCACAGACTCGGCACGCGAGGAAGTGAAAAGAGGCGCCCTGTAATCTTTAAACTACTGGACTTCAGAACCAAGCTTGAAATTCTTAAGAACGCCAGAAAGCTGAAAGGAACCAGCATATACATTAACGAAGATTTTTCTGCACGCATACGGCAAATCCGCAAAAACTTGTGGGATCATTCGGTTAATATCCGTAAACAGGCATCTAAATACAGATTACAATACGATTCCTTGATAGTCGACAGCGTTCGCTACTCGTGGGACAGTGCTCGCAAAACACTTATTCAGGCTCCTCGTGCCACCGTTTCTAGGGGCACAGAGTGACTCAGTAGTGAACGGAAACTAACCCTTTTGAACATAAATGCTCGCAGTCTGCTTAACAAGGTTCAGGATTTTAATTGGCTAGTAGAGTGTCACCACCCCTCAGTTATTTGTGTTACGGAAACATGGCTGAAAAACGCTATATCGGATTCCGAATTTTTGCCGCCAGCCTATTCGGTGATAAGAAATGACAGGCAATTCAGTAAAGGTGGTGGTGTTGCTGTTTTTATTAGGAAAGGCATCGAATTTTCAGTGCTACCTGAACTTCCCAATACTGAATCTGTTTGGTGTCGCATAAAACTTTCTGGTTTCGTGATGGTGATTGGAGCTGTTTATCGTTCACCCTGCTCTGAGGATGATGTATTTTCACATATTACAGAATACATAGCCCGTAACCGAATTAGTAATTATAAAATGATCATCACAGGCGATTTCAATGCTCCTTGTATTGATTGGGACTTGCTAACTTCAACAGGCCGTGAAAAGGCACTATGCGACTCCCTGATTAACATGGCTGTTTCTTTTGACTTAACGCAAGTGGTTGAACGTCCAACCAGAGATAACTCTGTTCTCGACCTTGTGTTCCTTAACGAAGAACTGCTGCAACATGGCTTTGAGTGTGACATAATAGATGGTTTATCTGATCACAAGGGTGTGTTGCTGCAACTAAACGTGACTCATGAACCTTGTAACCCGAAATTCAGCACCGTTACTGATTTCACGCATGCTAATGATCTTGCGATTGTAGAATTGTTAGAATCCTCTTTCGATAATTTTATGGCAAACAGTGAATCATGCAGTGTTGATGCATTGTTAGATCAGTTTTATAATTTGGCGTGCACCTGTGTGACACAGTTCGTCCCTCAAAAATGTGTAAAACATAACCCAAAGCATCCATGGTACACACGTGACATAATCCATCTCATACGGCGTATTAAGCGCATGCGCAAGCGAAACCCCCTCGATCCATTTCTTTTTTCGCTGAAGTCTGAGCTAAGAACGAAAATGACAGAAGCGAAAAAGTTTTATTACAACACGACGTTAACAACATACATGAAAGAAAACCCATCAAAATTTTGGAAATCAATACTTCCCTCTTCTCATGACTCTACAGCATTCATTATCAACGATCAAACTTGCACTGATCCTGCCACTATTTCAGAAGGCTTCAACAGATACTTTCACTCTGTTTTCAGCCAAGATGATGGTTCTCGTCCTCCTTTTATACATAGCTCAGAACACGCGTTGCCGAATCTCGAGGTAACTCACGCTGGGGTTCATAACCTGTTGCTAAAAATTGATACGACTAAAAGCGCAGGACCTGATGCCATACCGAACATGTTCTTGAAGAGATACTCAGAATGGAATGCCCATTATCTTACAGTGATCTTCAATAAATCTCTGGAAACCTCAATTGTTCCCAGAGCCTGGAAAATTGCCAGCGTCGTTCCAGTATATAAATCTGGTGATAAGCAGCTTATACAAAATTATAGACCAATATCTCTTATTTCGACTTGCTGTAAGCTTCTTGAACACATTATTCATAAACATATTGTACAGTATTTAACTTTCCACAGCCTCCTCTCACAAAGCCAGCACGGCTTTCGCTCTGGTTTCTCCACCGTCACGCAACTCATTGAGTTTACTCACGACATAGCTTCTGCACTCAATAGTCACGATCAGCTAGACGCCATTTTCATAGATTACTCGAAAGCTTTTGACATGGTCTCTCATGAAAAGCTTCTATGTAAAGTTCGAGCAATATTAAAAGGGTCCAAATTAATAGACTGGATCACTGACTATTTACACTTAAGATCTCAATTTGTTACTTTTAATCGCACGCATTCTTCATCGGTAACAGTCACATCTGGAGTCCCTCAGGGTTCAGTTCTGGGACCTCTGTTATTTGTCATTTTCATTAATGATGTAGTAAGTGTTATTAATAACACCAACGTTAAATTGCGCCTATATGCAGATGACTGTGTCTTGTACCGCATTGTTTCTGACGCTAGTGATCAAGAAGAATTAAATAAGGTATTTTCAAAGTTCTGCCAATGGAGTAATATGTGGCAAATGAAAATCAATTTTACCAAGACAGTCGCCATGACTTTCGGAAACAAAAAGAAGCCGCTGAATTACTCTTACAATACTAATGGTAGTTACTTGTCCCAAGTTAGTGAGTTCAAATATCTGGGTGTCATTTTTTCACATAACCTAAAATGGCATGCCCATATCAACCATATCTCTGCTAAAGCGCTTCGAAAACTTGGCTACATGAAGCGAACTTTAAAAAATGCAACGTTAGAATGTAAACTGGCTGCCTACAAATCACTTGTCCGTCCGATACTCGAATACGCCTCAACTGTGTGGTCTCCTCACCTCACGTGTGACATAACTCAGCTAGAATCAATCCAGAAAAAAGCTATCAGATTCATCTTCGGTCGCTACGATCGCAGCTTCTCACCTTCATCACATGCGCACATGTTATCATTGCAGCCTTTGGAGCATAGGCGCGAACACGAACGCGTAATTTTGCTGCACAAGATCGTCCACACGCCTTTCGGTATTCAAGCACCGTTCTCTTTTGTACCCGCTAATACACGTGTCACTAGACAAACCCACAGACTAAACATTATTCCTTTCAGGGCACATATTGACTGTTTTAAGTATTCATTTTTTCCATACACTGTTGAAATCTGGAACAATTTGGATGGTTCGTTTCGCGCATTGACTCATGAAGAGTTCGTTGAGAAACTACGTAATTCCATATAGTTTTCAGCTGTTTTTGCATTGTCTTAGTGGTTGTTCTTTTTCCGAGTTCCTATCTACATCTGTACTTGCACCTGATAAGAGTTTTTTGTTCAAGCTATGTAAGTTTATCATTTCTTCATCTTGTTTGTATAATCTTAGCGTTTCTTTTGTTGTACTTTCTTTGTACTAAAACATGTACCCACTCCTGCTATGTCTCGGAACCGAGACAGCAGTATTTGTAAATAAATAAATAAATAGGTTGCTAATATGAATCTAAAACGCCAGCGGGTTGCACTCGTGCAGACCGCTTACGGAGCTCTAAGATGTCCTTCATGGAACATCGAAGTTCCGCGGAAACCAGTTTTAGAACCTCTGTCAATAGACGAAGGGTTTTTATATTCTCGGAGGGGACGGGGCGTCCGCATATATATATATATATATATATATATATATAGTCGAAAAAAGGAAGACGACAAACGTACGAAACGCAGTTTTTACTAACGTTTCGGCAGGTGGGCCTGCCTTCGTCGGAGTAAATGATGAGAGGCCGCGCAGGGCCTATTTGGGCGGCTGGCTCCAGTATCACGAGCATGCGTAATTTTTCGATTTTCATGCTAAGTTGCAGATCAAGAATACAAGTGAATCGATAGATGTGATTGTATGAAATACACGTGACATTTCACAATAGTCATATGGCATATCTTACATACATGGTAAATTGTGTGCATCGAAGCAGGTTTATAAGACAGCACTAAAAAATAAAAAATAAAATAAAATTGGATGAATAGAAACACGCGCTGCGCAGATTCATACAGGGTACCAAAGGACACATAATTCTTGCATGAGAACACAAATCTCTAAGGATAATCTATGAAATGAGCAAAATAAGAAGTGAATAAACAGAAAATTGAAAAGGCAAAGTTGATAAAAAATATATATAATAACTCAATACAAGAATTTTCAAAGGTATGCATGACATAGAAAGGAGACAATGTGTACGCAATAATACGAAAATAGCTGAACAAGCACGGCAGACATCCACCAGTCATTGTTAAGTGTATTAACGAACTAAGGCAACATGCTAGTAAGTGTTCCCGGGCTTTCGTTCATTCCGTTTGAGAGAGTTTGGAATTTATGAATAAGGAATGACTCTCTAATTTCGCGATCATGGTGTGTCTTGAAACCAGATTCAATTATTGTGGCTTGGATGTTACTGAAGGAATGACCTGTGTCGGTGACATGTCTTGAAATTGGTAAGTGAGGAAGGGCATGTACATGAGCTCTATGATTGTTGAATCGGTACCTAAAAGCAGTTTCAGTCTGACCGAGATACTGTAGATGACAAATTGAGCACTCCAGCAGATAAATGGCGTTCTGTGTGTCACAATCGAAATTGCCTCTGATATTTATTTTGAAATCAGTCGCTGTGCTGGTGACACAGGTTGTCGTAGTCATGTGAGCGCACACTTTGCAGCGAGGTTTTTTACAAGGATGGCAACCAACCAGTTGAGTGTTGTCATCACATTTGGTTTTAGACGAAGTTAACAAATCGCGTAGATTTTTGCCTCGTCTGTATACAACTCGTGGTGGTTGTGGAAAGGCTCTTGTAAGGCGTTCACTCTGCTGAAGGATGTTGTGGTGTTTTCGGAGAATACTTGTGACATTAGGCGCCGATGCATTGTGTGTTAAAACTAGGTTTACTTCTGAATGACTATTAAGATTTTTCTTGGTTTTGCAGAGCGCTGTGCGTTCTAATGCGTCGGCCCGCCTCACCGCATCATCGATTAACATAGCTGGATATTTCTGTTTAAGTAGAGCACTGCGTAGTTCTGTACAGTTGGCGTTAAAGTCGGACTGTTCGGAGCAAATTCGCTTAAAGCGTAACGCCTGGCTATATGGTATGCTCAATTTGCAATCCCTCTTGTGGCTACTTTCAAAATGTAAGTACCGGTGCCTGTCAGTGGGCTTGCGGTACAGTTTTGTGGTCAATTGCGTACCATGGATACATACTGTAACATCGAGGAAGTCAATGGTGCTTGGTGAGTATGAGTTCTATTCATCCAATTTTATTTTATTTTTTATTTTTTAGTGCTGTCTTATAAACCTGCTTCGATGCACACAATTTACCATGTATGTAAGATATGCCATATGACTATTGTGAAATGTCACGTGTATTTCATACAATCACATCTATCGATTCACTTGTATTCTTGATCTGCAACTTAGCATGAAAATCGAAAAATTACGCATGCTCGTGATACTGGAGCCAGCCGCCCAAATAGGCCCTGCGCGGCCTCTCATCATTTACTCCGACGAAGGCAGGCCCACCTGCCGAAACGTTAGTAAAAACTGCGTTTCGTACGTTTGTCGTCTTCCTTTTTTCGACTGCATTTCCTACCGGAACCATTGGATTTATCTCTCGCCTATATATATATATATATATATATATATATATATATATATATATATATATATATATATATATATATATATATATATATATATATATATATAAACTTGATGATGATCAGAAGTAGCTAATATATAGCTCCTACCATATTTTGATCACTTATTGATGAGTGTGCGAAACTTCCTCGAAAATTGCTCGGCGTAATACCGTGTGGGCATTGTCGACTGATCCTCTCACGTCCACCTGGCAGGCGGTGGAGGTTTTCCTGCGCAACCCCAGGTGTCGCCAGCTTCTGTACGAGAGCAGGCAGGACACGCTGGACAACCAGCGCACCACGTGCCTCCACTTGGCGGCGAGGAACGGACACACCAGTGTGCTCAGGTACAGGAGCGTTAATTGCTTGTGTTATTTGGTCCCTCGTATATCATATTTGTTTTTGCCAGTTCATTAAAGTGGCCCTGCAACACTTTTGAGCATGGTCAGAAAACGCTGCAGCTGGGTAGTAGAGGCTCCCGACAACACGTGAGCCAAATATTATGGCGCAGCACGTGGTTTGCAATTCACAACAAATCAAGGTCGGCTAAAAATTGCTTTCTCTTGTATTGACATATGACGGAGGAAGCTCTAAAATGTCTTGCAGAAGACCATCTTTCAGCCATTGGCTGATTTGAACATGGCTTGCTCGGTCGTTACAGAGATCGTCGTGGAGGCCGTGATGCGTCTACGCATGCACGCTTGATCTCACTGAAAAAGCCGCGTATTCGAAAAAAGAAAGAAAAAAATGCTAATGGTCACAAGGCGCGCGTAACATATTCTCTTTGGCCCTGCCGTCCCCCCCCCCCCTGCTTAGCTTCCAGTGCTTTCGCCTGGACGAGAGAAGAGAAAATGTAATTGGAGCATGCGACAAATCCGTGTAACTCCACTCGCGCTGGAGTGATTCTTAAACTGTTTTGCGATGTTGAATTCGTGAGGCAATACAAGCTCTTCCAGTGAATTGATTCCATGGTTATTTAAAAAAAAAGAAAAGAAAAAGTCACTGTCCTGCCGCAAGAGCGAAGCAATGAATGCGATAGCAACAACTTGGAATGCGACGCTTACAACGGCTAGCAGATTGAAACGTGCAGCGCGCTGCTCACGCATAAATAATGCGTGAAAACAACACACACAGGACTAGAGATAACTAACAACGTTTACAGCTCAATGCTTGACGCGCTGTTTAAACAAAAACGACGCACGAAAAGTAATCACAGGTACAGATATGAGTGTGAACTAACGAGTGTCCCAGTTTGAACGACGCGCTCTTTTTGCAAACGAGGCTGCCCAGCGAGCGAAGTGACCTTGTGGCCCAGGCAACTAACGCAATAGTTCCGGTGAAAGGCTAACCCACAAGATTCTTCCCATGGAAGAATAAGAGCGTGCGCACAAAACCAGCCGAGACTGTTCATATATTGCTATCGCAATAAAAAGTGTTTCAAGGCCCCTTTAAAAAGATGCTGAAAACCACAAATGACAGGGCTGCCTATACAGATACACCTATCCGGATATGAAAATAGGACCGTAAAAGAATGTTTAAGTGCAAAACAGGCCCTAAACGTCGTCGGTCGTGATTCCCGCCAGCGACGGCCATTTCGCCATGGCGCCTGTGACGTTATGTGCAGCAAGCCTTGAGCTCTAGCCAGCGGAGTGCGCTCTTGTAAACTAAACCGCTCTTGTAAACTAAACCGTTAAATGATTGAAAACGGTTAAGGGAAAAACAGTCTAGTTGTATTGATGACTAAGTTATGCTTCAGAAGCTTTTATTGTGGAAGACGCTAGCAGACAGACTGGCGGCGGCGCCGCCTTGAAGATATCACACTATGTATACATAATTACCCTGACGTCATATTTTCTACTCAGGTTCTCATGACGTATGCACGAGTCTGCACAGTACAAACATTAAATGCATGCTTAATTAATAGAAAGAGACCGTAAGTTTCTCTGCATTACATGTATACCCAAATAGTAGTTTGAGTGCGTACTGTGTGCTCGACTAACGACGATATGCAAAACGACTGCAGGTGCCTCCTGGCGGCTGGCGCGGACATCAACAGGTCTACGCTGCGTGGCACGGCCCTTCACGAGGCGGCCATGCACGGAAAGCTGGAGGCTGTGCGACTGCTGCTCCAGGTGAGGATCTTCCCGTGAATAAGCCACACTCAATGGTTGTATGTAACCGCAAAATTCTCCCGAAGCAATGCCTCATGTTTTCAGCGAAACACTCTTTTGGCTGCCTTGGTAGTCCAGTGCTTATGGCTCTTGGCTGCTGACCCGAAAATCACGGGATCGAAACCCGGCTGCAGTGGTTGCATGTCCATGGAGGCAAAATGCCAGAAGCCCGTGTACTGGACGTATACATCGAAGAACCCCGACTGGTGGAAATTTGCCGTGCCTTCCACTACGGTGTCTCTCGTAATCTTATTTTGCTTTGAGCAGCTGAGAACCCAGATATTATAATTACTAATATTATCACTAGTATTATACTGCGCAATGATTCTCACCCTATATACACGTAAACATATTGAGTGAAGTTTAATACGACTTCACCACAACTTGTTGGGCAGTAGCGTACTTGAAGAGAGTAGAAAATAAATGAAGGCCTAACAAGAAAAAAAAAAGTCTTGTGTGCTAGATTATGCTGATGATTCCGCATTTAACCGTCATGCTGATATGATCTCAGCTTGTGGGCTTCAACTGGCTGAGGCGCTTGTATCCCTATCGAAAAAAACAGCGTCTCCAGTATCCCCCAGTGCGTTTCAGCGCACTGGGTGACTCTGGAAATGCTGTACACTGCAGTGTGTCCCAGTGTACTACAGCGTGCTGAGGGGCACTGGGACACGCTGTACAGCGTGGCCAGTGTCTTAAAGCGCTCTGGGAGGCACTGGAAAACACTGTACAGCATGGCCAGTGTCTTAAAGCGCGCTGGGAGGCACTGCTCACGCTGTACAGTGTCTACTGCACACTGATAATCTTAGCAGCACATTGGCAGAAACTAGGTGCAATCAACACACTTTCTGTAAGACTTTATATTGAATTGTGACATGTCGAGCGTAAAATTTACCGAATATGATGATATTCCCATCTATGTGCTACACATAGCTTCAGTTTCCTTAGGCAATGGATGCGAGTACGCTAAAGCATTCATATGTTTATTGCGCGGGTCAGAGGCGCTGCCAGGATTTTGCTGGGGGGGGAGAAACGACAACTTTGTTCCTGCAGGGGGGCAGGGAGCACAGAACTTGTGCATTGTGTTTACCCATGCTTGCTTCTGGAGGTGAGGGGCAAAGGGGGAGCATGCAAGAATTTCGGGAAAAAAAGTTCCAGCCCACCCATGGATGCCCCCCTTGGCGCGGGTACGCTTTCCTTGAAGTTTGAGTTTCGTCAATGTATTTCATAACCAGCATCAATAGAACTGAGAATTCACAACACAAAATGACAGTAGTATCAGTCTGATAATCAAGACCAACCTACTCTATCAGTGAGTTGTTGCGGCTCGTACCGTAGAAAGCCGCGTGTCCCCGGCAGCAGTTATCTACTGTAATGCCCGATTTTGGTGTTTATGGCTTCCAATTTGTGTAATCGAAGGTGTAATTATGACTATTCATGGGTCAGTTATGATCAAAACTATATTATAACAATTATTAAACTCTTTCTAATCGAATATCTACGATCTTCACAGCAACCATGGCACAAGAAGTACGTACCTAAGCGACGAGGACAGAAAATACTTCCAAACTATCGAGGGGCGAAACCTACAGTGCTCAGCGAGCAGTTCAGATGAACGCTGTTTTATACATAGGTATGACTAACCGCTTAGCGAGTCATTACGATTACCGTAACGCATCTTCAGCTACGCTAACAAGCTTTGCAGCAAAACGTGCCAGATGGATGTGATCCAAGGCAACCCACAAAGAATGAGCTAACAATCGCAAGTTTGGCACGAGCATGAAGAGACGAAACACTGCATATGTAAACGACAAATTCAAAATATTGGATACCAGAATTACTTTTAAGATGAAGAAAAATAAAGTCATTCTCGTGTTCAGATGTGGAGTAGTGGGTAGCGTGTCTGGCTCCGAATATGTGATGTGTTAAGGATGTAGGTGCAACTCCGGCTCATTCAGTTTTTATTTAATTTTTTTTTCACTACGTGCGTGTTTCAGCATTAATTACGAAGTGTGCATGACCACAACTTCTAAACACAATTTAAAAGCCAGATTTTGGCCGATAATTAATGTCCCAGTGTGCAGCACCAGCGTGCCTCGTGCAGCGTGGCACTGTCCCAGTGTCAGCACCACACTGGACACTAGTCCAGTAATCAGGTATGGCGCTGGGCCAGTGCCACTGGTTTTTGCAATAAGGATGTATATTACAGCGGTGCCAGCTGGGAAGCGAAGGTGGAAAATGCTTTTAGAAGAGCTCCTTTGTTTTTTAGAGAGCAACGGATGATTCCAAAGGACGCTTAGGCCAGGGAGAGTATATGGTCACTGATTGCTGACGTCAACCGAACCCACGACATCCTTTAAATTATATGTCCGATGCTCTGCCGATTTTGCTATAATGAAAAGCACTTGCATCAAACTTCTTCTGTGTCATTTTCCTGTGCTGCTCCCTGCCGTTTTGGTAGGAAGGCGGAGGTTCGAAACAACCGGCATCACCAGGAGAGAAGCCTGAATAAAAGGCGTATAAATTACCCATACCACAGCGTTTTGCGACTTCCCATTAAGGGAATATGGCGATTACGCCGTAGCACCGTGATAAAGGTGGATTCTTGCCATGACTAGGATTTGGAAACATTACAATTACTATATGGCTCCTATATATAAACGTAGCATGTGTAGTAACTCTAATTGACATTAGAGCCACTGTATATACTCTAATGTATGCTCTAAGAGTAGCGCATTTGTTTTTCAACGCCGCTAGCAGACATGCGCTGCAGAAAAGCTAGTTCACGGAAAAGCGGTTGCCGGCCACCTGGTGTTCATCAAGTGACAGTCCTGCGCTTTGTAGCTCATTAGCTACCTAGAAGCGTGGCAGCTTGGGCTAGTTGGTATGGCATGATGATAGTTATAGCGTGAGAACAAAACGACAACACAGAGAGACAAGAAGAAGACGAAGGACACGAGCGGTCCGCGTCCTTCGTCTCCTTGTCTTGGTGTCGTCGTTTTGTTCTCGCGCTATAACTATAGTCATTTGCATGGGTCGTTTTCGAAAAACGTACTGAAATAATTAATGCTGTAGGGTTAGTGGGCTTACCGGGATACCGGTTGTACCGTGAGAGCGGAATCAAAGTGCACTTTCGCAGATACGTACGTTACCCATACCGCTTCCCGTACGCGGGGTATTTTTCAGATTTCACTTTACCGCGGTAGCGCAGGTGTACGTAGTGTCATAGCCTCCTAGATTTTTCTTGCCTGCCGGATGAGCGCGAAATGCCTGTCATCTATGGCGGTGCTACCTACGTAGGGCTAAGTGTCTTTGCCCTAGCAAAAATTCTGATAGAAAAACTGATAGGCTATCAGGTTATTGACAGTTGTATCAGTCTATGAGCGTATCAGTTTATGAATGTATCAGTCTGTGAGTGTATCAGTCTATCAGTGTACTAGTACTGGTGCACCAGCCTATAAGTGTAGCATTCTACTCTGATAGGTTCACAAGCGAATCGGTGCTTAGCCAACTGGCAGGTGCATCGCTACATCAGAGCAAGCAGGACACAAATATGAACACAGAAATCAAACAAATATTTTATTTGATGTGCCATTTCTTGGTTAATCTTTTGATTTCATAAAGTCACTAATTTTGTTTGCCAAAGCTTTATTGAGGAGCTTCTTCATTTGCTCAACCTCTCCAATCAGAACAGTGTGCTTCGAAAAAATGGTTGAAAAAATCTGCATGATCAAAAACAAAGCAAGTTACAGGCACTTATTAAGCGACAATTATGTGCACTCCAAATAGAGGAGTCAATATGACAAGGAAATAAGTAGGAGTGCTATCAGTCTGCCTCTCTAATATTGTTTAAAATTAGTTTGTGGATTCTTGCATAAAAGTACCCAGCTCCAGTAGGCAAAAGCTACACTTTAAGCTTTAGTAAGTAATTATAACACAAGCTGGCAGTAAAACCTCGGCTGATTACGTACAAAAATGGAGCCACCAACTTCCATGAATTTTGGTCAGATTGCAAAATTTCACCTACCTTTAAACACAGCATATGTTTCTTTCTCCAAGGGAGATTTCGCCTCCCCTTTAGACCGATTGGAGGCTGCGCCAGTAACACTTCTACCAACTAGGCCTGCTGTATAAAAATCGGCAACGGCCGCCTCACGAAGAAAACAAGTCTGTCTTTTCAAGCCCATGGGTTTATTGTACAACCTCTTGGGAACGGCAATTCCTTTGCTCTGATGCACCTATAAAACAAGTCAAAGATGATGTGCACACATTCGTTTGTCAATGCACATTTTCTTATTAAAGCAAAGCAATATATCTTGAAGACAAAGCATACTAGAGTTTTATTTTTATTTATTTATTTTATTTATTTATCACATACTGCGGACCAAGTATGGTCCATGCAGGAGAGGGCAATACAGTACAAAATTCTTCTACACACATACACTTCCGCTGCAGTATACATTCGCTGCAGAACGAAATTCATGTACATTAAAAACTCGTGAAAAACAAGGGACAAATACAGGCAAAGAAGCAGACTTAAGCAACAAAAAAAGGGTATAGTTTCATCTCGGCGTGTTGAGCATAGGGGAATCATGGGGCAGAGCATTCCAATCAGAGACAGTTCTCGGGAAAAATGAATACTTGTAAATGTTAGTGCGTGCAAATATAGGTGTAATGCTACGACTATGTTTATGACGTGAAGACCTGGTTGTGTCCTGTGTTATGTAATCTGGTGCGTGCAATCCTGATCTGGAAAAGCATAAAAGGCGGAAAAAGTTAAGCCGTGCAGTTTTCCTTCGATCGGCCAAAAGTTGGAGGTTCGCATCCTGCAACAGGGCTGACGGCGAATCGCGACATCTATACCGGTTGTATATAAATCGAGCAGCTAATCGTTGTATTTTTTCTATTTTCTGTATATTACCAGCTGTGTGGGGGTCCCACACAATGCTGGCATATTCAAGAGA